CTTCCTCTCTTTGGGCCCTGCAGACTCCCACACACCGGGTACGTGCCCTGATTCTCTATAGCAGGCTTGAAGCCCTCTCTGTCTTCAGCTTTTCCCCTCTCCTCACATCTAGATGTGCTCAACACCCTTCTTTAACCCTTGCAGGTGGAGGAGATCTACAGGAATCACGCGGATATTGGCCCTTACCACAAAGAGACGGTGATAACTGCGTTCAGGTGGGTGTTCGTGCCTTGTGGGAGCGGAGGAGGGCGATGCCAGCATGTCACGTGGCTGCATACCCTCCCTCCCAGGCTGCTGGGGATGGAGGCACCTCAGTAGTCACCCGTGTGACACAGCGAAGGGTGGGCAGTGAAAAGCGACCTGAAAATGGCTCCTCAAGTAGCCTTGCCCCTTCTTCTACTGACCCTTGAGCCTTCCTGCATCTGGCCCTCCTCTCACCCCACAACTGCCCTTCTCCTGCAGCGAAGGCAGCGTCATTGCCTACTACTGGTCGGAATTCCTTGTCCCCAAGTACCGGGAGGAGAGTCTGGACAGGGCAATGGCAGATAAGCAGAGCCTGGTCCAGAGGTGGAACCCCCGCTTGCGCAACCCCATGCTGAAGGTGGAGTCAGTCGTCGCTTTCCGTGAGTGCTGGCTCTGCTCTCCCTGGGCATCTGGGACTGGGAGGGGGGGAATATTTCGCTGGAGGAGTAAGCTGCCGGTCGCAGCCCTCCTTTGGACGCCTTTGGCTGTGGGGACTGCTCTAAGGGTGGGTGTAAAGACCTTGCTTGTACAGCGCAGCTTTGGTGGGACATGCAGACCGGGAGTAGCCGCATGGACCATTCCGCTGAGCCCATCTGGAGAAGGACAGGGATGAATCCTCCCTCCTGCAGAGGAAAACCTTGGATCACTTAGCTCCCCAGAGCCCAGGCTCTGCCCCTGGCCAGCGGGCAATGCCAAAGCCTTGAGGGACTTTCCATATCCCAAAGGATGACACCACCTCTGTTTTCTCCCGCAGCTGCTGACCCCAGCATAGCCTACTCCACTCGGGACAGTAAGTACAGTTCAGTCTTGTAAGGGCCTCTTTGGGGTGGCAATTTCCCTTTTGGGATGAGGAAGGGCCTGCAGACCTCCCTGTGCTGCTTGGAGCTGGTTTGGGGTTGGCCAAACTGTGGCACAGGCTTCCCCGGTGCCTCACCTTGGAGATGGGGGGAGATAAGCAAGGATGCTCCCTGCAAGAGGGATCTCCCCAGGACCTCTGCATCCCAGGGAAAGGCAGGGCAGAACCTCCTCCTTTGCCTTGTTGACTCTTCCCCGCTCCCCTGCACAGACAGCTGCATGTTTGCGCTCCACGCCAGGGAAGGGGAGGTCACCAGTTTCACCACGCCGGGCTTCCCCAACAGCCCGTACCCCAACAACGCGCTCTGCTACTGGACGCTGAGGGCGGACGCCAGCTCCATCATCAGCCTCACCTTCAAGACGCTAGAGCTGGAGCAGTGCACGGACGACAGCGACTACGTCAAGGTGTACAACTCCCTGAGCCCCGTGGAGCCCCACGCGTTGGTCAGGTGAGCGTCTCTCGCGAGCCCTGGCGTGAGGTGGCAGGGTGACACTCCCAAGTCCCGCTGGGCACCGAGCTCCTGGCCCTGCTTAGAGGTGATCCGTGCTGCACAGGGCTCTCCAGACTGTGGTGCCTAATGGATTTTTGTCCTTTACTTCCTAGGCTCTGTGGGAATTACGCCCCTTCCTACAACCTGACCTTCCTCTCCTCCCAGAACGTCATGCTCGTCACTTTGGTTACCAACAGGGAGGGGAGATTCCCTGGCTTTAAGGCAGAGTTCTTCCAGCTTCCCAAAATGAGAGGTGAGCAGTGGCCTTGGCCCAGTCCCTCCTCTTTCTCCATGCCACCGGGTGTTTCCGGGAGACCTGGAAGCAGGTCACATCTTGGCTCTTGGAGCTCGCCTTGCCTGCCATGCTCTCGGCTGCTGTAACAATGTCCCTCGAGGAGGGCAAAATTCAAATTCCGTTGGATTAGACATGCAGGTTGATGTGTGCAGGAAGCACCTAATCGATCTCCTGGGTTCTCTCCAAGCCGTGGAGCAGAGCTGCCCCCTCCAGGGATTGACTTAACCTTGTTAGAGACCGTTGGGTCTGCTTCCCTTCCTGCCTCGGATGAGATCCGGCTGAGGCTTGGGAAAACCACGTCTCCTTGTGTCTTGGACCTGTTTTCACCCTCCTGGACCTGTTTTCACCCTCCTGCTTGTCTTCCAGCCTGCGGCGGGACTCTGAAAGGAGAGAGCGGCACCTTCACGACTCCCTATTACCCGGCACACTACCCCCCGGCCACGGACTGTGTCTGGAACATTGAGGTAAGGCGGGGTCCTCTCTTCTGGCCTTAATTAGTCTGTGGTGGTCCTGGACACTGTGCAAGCCGCTGCCTGGAGGCTCAGAGCCTGGTGTGACTGCAGGATTTAGGAGAGGTGCCAGAGGCAGAAGAGGCAGTGAGAAGCATGGCTTCAACCCCACCTTTTCCCAGGAAACTTGCTCCCCTTTTCTGTGCTTCAGTAAAGAACACGCTGCTGTTCCCGCTTCTTTTTGCAGGTTCCCTCTAAAAAGAACGTGAAGGTGCGTTTCAACACGTTCTTTGTGCTGGAGCCCGGGATCCCCGTCAGCTCCTGCACCAAGGACTATGTGCAGATCAACAGCACGAGGTGGGTGCTGGCTGCTCTCCGACCCACGGCTTCAGCCCTTCCAGGTCGGAGGGGCTGCGTTTAGTCACGTGGCACCTCGCGCTTCCCTTCGGTGTGCAGCGGGAATGGGCACGCTGGTGCTTTTTGGGTTGTGCAGAGGCAGGAGGGTGCCGGGGTCTGACCTGCTCTCGTAGCTCGATGCCCGTGGGGAGATGGGGGGCAGCACGCCTGGGGACGGAAGCCTGGGATTGTTGCATGCTGCAGCTGAATCCCTCCCCCCAAAACGCTGGGTCACCTCGCGTGCAGGGAAGGCAGAAACATCTGGCGGGGTTTTGCTTGGATGAGCAGGTCTCCATCGTTAGGAGAATTGGGAATTGCATTCCGTGATGCACAGAGGCACATCTGAGATCAGGGAGCTGATCCCTCTGTCAGGCAGGGATTTGGATGAGCTCGCTCCCAACCATTTCCAAGGTGACAGCTCGATGGTGTTTGCAAACCCAAACCTCCTGCCAGTGTTTGACCTTGAGGTGCAGCCGTGGGTGCTGGAACCGGACAGGTTCTCCTGCCCCCGCGGCTCTCTGGGTGTGTGGAGTGACCCTGTGTGCCAGTGGGGAATTTGGGGGCGGAAGAAGGTTTGCTCAGTGCTGATCCACAGCACTCATCTTTCTTTGCTCTCTCTCCCTGCAGGTACTGTGGGGAGCGCTCCCAGTTTGTGGTGGCCAGTACTACCAACAAAATAGAGGTCCGGTTCCACTCCGACCAGTCCTACACGGACACTGGCTTCTCGGCCGAGTACCTGTCATACGACTCCAGTGACCGTGAGTTGAAATCCTGAGGCTGGGCAGGGGGGAGAAACTGATTTACCCGAGGTCTGGAGGCTGTCCCTCTTCCGCACTTCATTGGGAAGCTCGCTTTCCTGAGGGATCAGAGCTTATTTTCCAGCAAGCCCCCTCGCATTCCTGAAAAAAAGAGGGAGAGGTGTTTTTAATGCCAGATGCTGTAAACGGGCACTGGGAACGCCGTGTGCTTTGGGAAAAGACATATTGGGGATGGCTGGAAGGCTCACATATTGTTTTATCCTTTTCCTCCCCCTCTCAGCCTGCCCTGGCAAGTTTACCTGTGACACCGGCCGCTGCATCGACAGAAGGATGCACTGCGACGGCTGGCTGGACTGCGTGGACGGCAGCGACGAGAGATCCTGCAGTAAGCCTCTCCTTTGTTTCTCCCGGCCTTGTCGCGGTCTCCCTGCTCGCCTCGCTCCTCCGGGCTGGAGCGAGAAGCACTTGGTGTGAGGATTGATTTGGGAACCTTTCCCAGTGTGGGAGCCATGGGTTCCTGCTAATCTAGCCCTCTCCCAGTGCTATCTCCCTCCCTTTTCCACCTGGGAATGTGTTTTTCCATGTAATCCTCAAGGCTGTTGTGGGTTTGGCTGAGCTGGGTGGTGCAAAGGGGTGGATTTTGTTCTTGACCCGGGCAGAGCACACATGGAAAACCCGTGTGATGCACGGGTAGTGTTTTGCACAACACTCCTCTTGGATAAGCAGAGCTATCCCGCAGATACTGTCCAGGGCCCGCAGGTAATTGGAGAGGATGGGATCCTGGCTTGGCATCTCCTTCCCAGCTAAGGGGCTGTGTTCTGAGGAAGGGTGTGCTGCTGGGCTGGTCGCCAGCACCCTGATCTGGGAATCTCTGGTGCTTTCCCACTCAAGTTGTTGCCACCGGCTGTCCTGCTTCGTGTGACCTTCACCCCTAACTCCTGGACAGCTCACCGAAGGGTTTTGTCCCCCAGAGCAGTGGAAATAGGGTGCTGTAGCCTACGCACGCTGCGTGTTTCCATAGCGGTGCAATGCTGGGTGGGTCGCTGGTGACTCCGCAGGTGCTTTTTGTGGCTTTCTCCTCCCCTCCATGATTTCTCGCTCTCCCTTTTCAGCCTGTACGGAGCAGCAGTTCAGGTGCCAGAACGGCTGGTGCAAGCCCAAGTTCTGGGTCTGCGACAACGTGAACGACTGCGGCGACAACAGCGACGAGCTGCAGTGCAGTAAGGAACTCGCCCCCTGGGCTGGAGCAAGGCAAAGGGGGGACGGAGGCTCGTGGTGCGGAGGGAGGCCAGGGCCGTGCTGGGAACGGGCAGGGGAGAAAACCAAAACCTGCCCTGGGCTGGTGCAGCACGCTCCAGCCCACACAGCGTTTCCAAGTGGGAGAAAGGAGGATGAGCAGGGGTGTAGGAAACGTGGGCTGAGTAAACCAGTGGTTGTGATTTAGAGAAGAAGGTAGGGTATGCAGGAGATAGGCGATTGTATGTTGTAGCTGTGGAGGCTTTACCTGTCTCGGGGAGGGGGGAGGCGGACTCAGCCGTGTGCGGGAGGTGCTGTGGGATTGTACCCAGCCATCTCCCAGGAGCTGCTCCTTCCCCAGGTTGTCCAGCTGACAGCTTCAAGTGCAACAACGGGAAGTGTGTCCCCGAGGCGCAGAAGTGTGACGGCAAGGACGACTGCGGGGACGGGAGCGACGAGGGCAGCTGCAGCACTGGTGAGGGTGGGCTGCGGAAGGGACGTCCCCTCAAAAAACGGCCTCTTAGGGATTCCCTTGTAGCCAGGCATCCTGCTCGTGCCTCGTTTTCCTGGGTTGGCAACGTTCTGGGGATGGGCAGAAGAGCTGAAGGGCTCCTGAAGAGTGTGAATTCCCTAAAACTGGGGCTAACCCTCTCTCCCTTCATCCACAGCGGGCCAGGCCACCGTTCCCTGCAAGGACTACACATACAAATGCCGGAGCGGGCGCTGCATCAGCAAGCAGAACCCAGAGTGTGATGGGGAGCAGGACTGCGGGGACAACTCTGATGAGGACAACTGCAGTGCGTACCCGGGGGAAGGCGGGGATGCGGGTTTCTGGGCTGAAGGGTGGCGCAGAGAGCCCCAGGCTTTTCTGTGGGATGGCTGTATCCAGAGAAGTGTGGCCAGCAGGTCGAGGGACGGGATTCTGCCCCTGTACTCTGCTCTGGTGAGACCCCACCTGGAGTGCTGCGTCCAACTGTGGAGCCCTCAACATCAGAAGGATATTGACCACTTGGAGCGAGTCCAGAGGAGGCCACGGAGATGATCAGAGGGCTGGAGCCCCTCTGCTATGGGGACAGGCTGGGAGAGTTGGGCTTGTTCAGCCTGGAGAAGAGGAGGCTCCGAGGAGACCTCATTGCAGCTTTCCAGTACCTGAAGGGGCCTACAAGGAAGTTGGGAGGGGACTTTTTACAAGGGCCTGTAGTGACAGGACAAGGGGTAATGGGTACAAATTGAAATCAGGGAGGTTTAGATTAGATATCAGGAAGAAATTCTTCACAGAGAGGGTGGGGAGGCACTGGAACAGGTTGCCCAGAGATGTTGTGGAGGCCCCATCCCTGGATGTCTTCAAGGCCAGGCTGGATGAGGCTTGGAGCAACCTGGTCTAGTGGAAGGTGTCCTTGCCTATGGCAGGGGGGTTGGAACTGGATGGTCTGTAAGGTCCCTTCCAACCCAAACCATTCTATGATTCTATGATTCTATGAAAATAGCCAAGCTGGGCTCTTCTGCTGCGTCTGTGCCATTGGAGAGGTTCAGAGGGGGCTGGCCCAGGGAACAGAGGGTTTGTCTGCGCATTTACGGGCTTGGCCAGTCCAGATTTTAGCAAGTGGAGCATTTGTGCTCCCGCGCTGATGGCATCGGCCATCCTTGCAGCAGGTCGCGGGGCACTTGTGCCACAGGAGGTATCCCAGGGGCAGGATGGGGGGGTCTGGAGCGGGAATGGGAATAATCAAGTGTCCCTTCTCCACCCCAGGCTGTGGGATCCGCTCCTACGTGAGGAAGTCGCGGATCGTTGGCGGGCAGAACTCAGACGTGGGAGAATGGCCGTGGCAGGTCAGCCTCCACGCCAAGGGCCAGGGCCACATCTGCGGGGCCTCGCTGGTCTCACCCAGCTGGCTGGTGTCGGCAGCGCATTGCTTCCTGCAACTCCAGGGCATCAGGTAGGTGGGAGACGGATCCGGGGCCCACTGCCAAAGGCGGGACGCCCCAATGGTCGCGATTCTGCTTTCAGGCATGTGTACGAGGAGGATAAAACAGTTTTTACAGGCATTTCTGAAGGAAACTGTGAAGCTGGGAGGTCTGGGAGAGGGGCCTGACCCCTGTGCTTCCTGACCCCTGCAGGTACTCGGACCCCAGCCTGTGGACAGCCTACCTGGGCCTCACCAACCAGGGCAACCGCAACGACGCCAACGTGCAAGCGCGGAAAATCAAGCGCATCATCTCCCACCCCTACTTCAACGACTACACCTACGACTACGACATCGCCGTGATGGAGCTCCAGACCCCTGTCACCTTCTCCTCCGTCGTCCAGCCCATCTGCCTGCCCGATGCCACCCACAACTTCCCTGTGGGCAAGGACCTGTGGGTGACGGGGTGGGGAGCGACTGCGGAAGGAGGTGAGCGCTGGCCTTGCCTCGTGAATTGAGGGATGAGGTGACACATCTCGTGAGTGGCTTTAGGGAGAAATATATTAGCTTGGCTGGAGATGGGAATCAAATGAGATTCCCATGGGAACACACAGAGTTCACGTCTCGGTCCCGCTGGAAGAAGCGGGTTGTTGCAACGGGGACTTACCCGGCAGTTAAAGCCCCAACAGGGGGGGAAAATGCCACTTGGAAACGCTGCGTGCTTTTCCTTATGCTGCTCCTCCCCTCTCCTCGCAGGCAGCGGAGCCTCCATTCTGCAGAAAGCTGAAATCCGGCTCATCAACCAGACTGTGTGCAACAAGCTGCTGACGGACCAGCTCACGCCGCGCATGATGTGCGTGGGCATCCTGACCGGCGGCGTGGATGCCTGCCAGGTAAGCCAGCGGCACGGCAGCACTCGGGTTGGATGCCTGGAAGAGGATCCTTAGTCAGGAAGACAGGACCTTTGCTCCACGGAAGTGTTTTTGAGAGCATTTCTTGCTCACATTTTGGGATTTACTCTAACACTTTGCATTTGGTGCTCATGCTGCTGTTTGTGTCCGCACAGGGAGACTCCGGGGGGCCCCTGGTCAGCGTGGAGCCCAGCAGTCGGATGTTCCTGGCCGGCGTAGTGAGCTGGGGCGACGGCTGCGCCCAGAGGAACAAGCCTGGAGTCTACACCCGCCTCACCAGCCTGCGCGCCTGGATCAAAGAGCAGACGGGCCTTTAGGGACACGCTCAGCCCTGCGTGGACACGGACACCTCTGGCTGGAGGCACGTGGCCTCATCCAGCCTCTACTGTGAACCTCAACCCTCCCTCTACCTCGCCGCAAGCGCCTAGGACAGCCCGAGCTGAGGGGTTAGTTCAGCCCTTCCTCTTCCCACCTCTCACCTTGGAAATCAATGGTTGGAGCGTAAGAAATTTCCTGCTGGGGGTAAGCGAGCGCAGCGCCCGTGAGCAGCATGAGTGAGCAGTCCTTCCAGATACGTATAACAATAAACTTAGTCAAGAATAATTAAAAAATCATATTAAAGAGGGCAAACACTTTGTGTTTTAGAGGCACAGTTGATCTTCTGGAAGCTTGTTTTTGAACCTGTCCCAATATTCTCCTTTGGAGGTTTGCAAACGGCTGTCCTCACCCCTTTCTCTGGTCTTGAGTCACTGGGGGGGGTGGTTCTTACCGTGGTTTGGGGGGCACCCCCCTGTGATCCCTCCCTGGGTGTTGTCCCACGCCGTGGTCTCCTCCTTCCATCCTCTGTCCAAGCGAAAGAGCAGGGTTGGGCTGAAAGATGCTGTCGCTCACCCCGAGGGACCGGGGCGCAGGTCCTTCTCCTGCCTCGAGGCCTGGGCCGATGGGCTCTCCCACACCGTGCCTTCGCCCGGCGTTCCACCGGAGCCGACACCTCCTCGTCTGGGCTCCAGCTTCTGGGAGTTGTGCCGCACTGGCGACTTCCCTTTCTCCCTGCGAGGAGCAGCAGGATGCTCCTGGAGCTTGGCCCCTGGGACGACAAGACACAAGACACCACTCTCAGACCCTTCTTACTTTGTAAAGGAAAACAACCTGTGATTTGTGAATGTGCTGATTTTCTCTCTTTCCGTGTAGCCTGTTCCCTGCCCTGAGAAGTGCGCGCTCCCAGCGAGTCAGGTTCACCCCTTCCTTGCCTGTAAATAGTTTTGTAAAACTCTCTATGAAGTGCAGATGCTCTAATAAACTGGGATATTTTCTAATACTCTGTCTGCGTGAGCTTCGGCACGTTCCTGACCCGGGAAACCTGCAGCAGGGAGTTAAGGAACATTTTTTACCATGCTGCAGCAGCATCAGAAGGGTTTGCTGTGGTAACCCCTGATCTGGAGCACAACGCTGGACCCAGAGCCTTCCCTCGGCTGGGGCACTCCAGGGCTTCCAGCTCCACCGTGCTGGGGAGGGAGATCCCTTCCAAAACATCAGCTGCCCCGTTCATCCCCACATTCCCAGTCTTACCAGCTGTGCTGCTGCCAGCGCCGGGGTCCCCGCAGGATGTTTCTCTTGCACGGAGGGAGGACAAGCAGCAGTTCACAGCACCAAAAGCAGGGGAAAACATGAATAAATGGATTCCACAGTGTCCCAGGATCCATGCACCCTGCCTGCCATGGCATGGCTGGCTGAATAACAAAGGGGTTAGGCGGTTTGCTAGCAGCGTCCGTTCTCAGCCAGTGTGCAGGATTCCCAGGAGGGGCCCATGGATCCTCAGAGGATGCAGTTTGCTTCTCCCTGGCAGCCGCCCCTTGCTGTAAGCCCTCTCACCCATCCTGTGTTTCTCCCGCTCTACCCAAGCTCCACTTCCAGGAGGAAGGGCCAGAGATCTGCAGGCTCCGGTGGCGACGCCCTAAACAACCCAGGTCTTCTGGGGTGGGGGCTTTGGATGCATCCGAAACAAAGGAGTCCTCGGCTATTGCACAGCCATGCAGGTCACAACACGGGATTAGGATGGAAAAATACCTCCTCGTTGTGGAGAGCGGAGAGTCCCAGCACTGGGCGAGAGAAACGCCCAGCCAACCGGCACACCGAAGGGCCACTTCACCTGAGGCAAGGACTACTCGGAAACCCCTCTCCCATGGAAACAGGCCCTTCCTAAGGGTTAAAAATAAATAAAAATATGGAAAATAATAATAATAAAAAGCCAAGCCCCAGAGCTCCAACCCCACTAGGTGTCCCTCTCGGCCAAGGCACCAGAAGCATTCCCGGGAAGGAATTCCAGGGAAGTGGTGGAGGGACAGGTCTGCAGGCTGCAGCCCCAGGCCCCTCTCCCAAAGGGCCGAGGGGAGGGAGCCAGGAGGAGAAAGCCGGAGTGGGCAGGGAAGGGAAGAGGCGTAGGCTGGATGGGGAGCTGGCTCTGCAAGGTGCCCAATGAGGCACTTTGGGGAGGAAAAGCAGCTCTGAATCAGCCCGGAAAGTCCCATCTCTGAGGTTGAAGGTCCAAGTCTGAGAGTTCACTGATGGTCAGCTTGGTTTCCACTCCCCACCCGGTTCACCAGCAGTTCCCAAAGTATTCCCAAAGCACTCGGACACCAGGGGGAAGCGTCTGAGTTACCAGAAACCAATCGTCAGACCTCAAACTCTGCATTATTGCTTCCACACGGCACATCTCCCGGGATTTAGGCAATGCAACCCCCAGCTTGCTCTGAGCTGGGAGGGGTGAAACACCACCGAGCTGTCAGCAGTCACACCTAGCAGCAGCAGCGCAAGGGGTTTGGATAATCCAGCTGGGAGGTGGAACGGAGTTGGATGTTTCCCCGGGCACACCGCAACCCCCAGCCTACTCCGAGCTGGGACGGTTGAAACACCACCGAGCAGCAGCAGCGCAAGGGTTTTGGATAATCCAACTGGGAGGTGGAATGGAGTTGGATGTTTCCCCGGGCACACAAAACCTAAGAGGGGTCTGACATTGGCGTCTCAGCGCGCCGGTCGTCTTAGAAACGGTGAGAAAAGTAAAGAGATGGGGGGACCCAGTGCAATCGTTGGGGGCCACCTGTCCCCCCAGGAAGGCAACACAAACAACGGGGTCAGGGAAGAGGGAGCGGAGAGGATTTCACGCTGCTGGGAGCTATCGGGATACTTGGAGGGGAGGTGGAAAGGAAAGGCTGCGTCCCCTGGAAGGGAGGTCAGCACCCCGAGCAGCCGGTCCCAAATGAGAACAGATGGCTTGCAGGAGGCAAACCACCGGGAAAGCATGCCAGGTCTTCGGGAGCAATTCCAGCTGATGAATCAAAGGGAAACCATCCCACACGATCGCTTGGAAAGCTGCTTGCACAGCCTGGCCGGGGCAGCCCAGCCGCTCCCGCCCGGGGGGGCGGGGGGGGCGCTGCCACAGACCGCCCTGCTCCACATCGCGTCTCCTTGGGATGCCACATGCTACTCCCGGCAGTTTCACCCCCACAGCAGTCTTGGGTACTTCAAAAGTCCTCTTGGTGTCAGGGCATTACACCCAGGGCGCATAAAGCACTTTTTCCTGCTCTTTTTCCACCCAAAAGCTTCCAGTTGTGTCCTGACAAGGCATTAAGCCATGATCCATGAACACAGCAGCTGCATCCTGCTCCACTCCATGCCCAGGCTGCCATTTCCTCTAGGATATGTGGCACTGCCACCCTCCTGGTCCCAAATCTCACTCCCCTGCCTCCCCTCCTTCTGCTGGGCTGGCCCTGGATGTCGATGAATGCCATGAGCCCCCCACTCCCTTACTCGCTCTGGGCTGGCCCTTCTACCAGCACGTCTTCCTGCTTACCAAGGCCAGCCCTATATCTCCCCACACAGGGTCGTGTCCTGCTTTACATCCATCATACCAGGTGTTTGCTCCCTCCTGCAGCTGAGCATGGGAAGGTTTAGGGGAAATGTCATTTTGTTCTTGTCCAGCACACACACAGCAAACCCAGTGAGGATGGAGAGCCTGTGTGTTGCCTAAGCAGAGCTAAAACAGGGTGTAAAAACCCCCTACAGACACTTCAGGGCTTGTCTCACCCAGGAGTCAACAGCCTTTCGCTCCAAAGCGTGTGCCTGCACACCAGTAAAGCACCAGCTGCCACAAGCATGGGGTGAAACGCTTGCCTGTCCCCACTGCTTGTCATCCCTGGAGAAAGCAATCGGATGAGAAAGCGGCTGTGCAGCATCCAATGTCCTTCCCAAAGGAGCAGGCTCAGCTTCTTGCCTCCTTCCTCCCAACCATTTTGGGGCTTGCACAAAAAGACAGCAGCAAGTTATCTTTGGCCTTGGAATGACCACTTGTATGATCACATACAACCACATCTATGCCAGCAGGGAGAATCCCTCTATGTCCCACTCTCTGAGCTGTTTTCCACACGTATTCCCCAGCTCACTGATGGGGAGACGAGCAGGGAAAAAAACCCCAAAATAATTAAACCCAGCGCAGCAGCCCCAGTAAGTGGGTTGTCTCCATAACATCCTTCAACAACAGCATTCTCAATCCACTCAGCTGGACTTTCTACCTCCCAGACAACCAAACCCTCATCTTGTCACGGCTGAAGCCCTGCTGTAAGCACTGAATGCCTTCAGCTTCTCTGCCCAGCGACTCCAGTCTAGGTTGTGCTGCTAAACTGGGCTCCACAATGGAAGGGGAGGTTCCCCCCTCCCTGGATGCACTGGGTGAAGCAGCTCCCATCTCCTGTCGCAGCATCACCCCGATAGTGAGAGGGAAAGACCTTTTCTCCCCTCGGGAAACATCAAGTGACACCATTTACAGCCGTGGCAGCTGCTGCAGAGTTCCTGGAAAATGCCTGACTGCACGCACGCCTGCATCCTGGCTGTCAGGTTCCCTCCCAGGGCTCGGTGCAGGGACACGAATGTCAGCAGGAGCTCACTGTCACCCGCAGGGAAGTCAAGATGGTTTAGCTAAGCCAGGTCCTACTGTCCCCTCATTTAACCCCAGCTGTCGGGGTGCAGCTACTCCGAGAGTGGCCTTGGCTTTCTCTGGAGATGGGCATCTCTTGCTATGCACCGATGACCCCAAGACCAAGCATACATGCTAAACACCCAATTTTAAGTGAAGTTAGACGGAGTCCTCTGGTCTCAGGTCCATACACAGTCTAGGGAGGGGGAGATTCTACAGCATATGGAGTTTTTCCCCTACCTCACTCACCCCAAAGTACAATCCCATCCGCAAGAAGAACATGCCAGACCCCAATTTCCATGTTACCAATGGATGAACCCGAGAGGGAAACAGGAGAGCAACCTCTTG